CAGGTTCTTAAAGTTGATTATAAAGTCAATGAATGGAAGTATTTCGTGCATTACATTGTAAGTAGATTATGTTGAATCTTGTTATGTGGAACAAATGAAGAAAAACATTTATTGAAGATGTAATTTTGTGTTTTTGTTTTGGCAGGGTTGGAACAAAAGGTTAGTAAAGTTTCCTTCTTATTGCATTATCAGTTCTGAATTCCTTCTGGTTTTGGTAAATTATGTGTATGATTTATAATGTATATAAGGGAGTTCTGATGGTGATTTACTGATTATCGAATCGAATATTCGCAAAAGATGTCAATTTTTGTTTCTATGCAATGATAATTTCAAGGTCTCATTATCGTATCTTTTTATACAATGATTGTTTCGACAGTTGGGACGAGTGGATAGGTCTGGATTGTCTGTTGAAACATACAGATGAGAACATTGAGAAACAACAGGAACTGGGGATGAAGCAAGGAGTAAAGAGTGCTATGGCTTGGAGAGTTTCAAAGATGAAACCTAGAAGCCCTAATGGTTAGGGTTTTTCTTATCTTTTGGAGTCTGTATCACGGACTTCTTTTCGATTGTGTGCTTTATTCTTTGTAAATTAAGTGGGAGATGTAGAGTATAAATTAAACATATGCATCATTTGGTGTTAATAAGGCTGTAATGACTTCATTTTATCAGAATATCAAAGACATGAATATTATGTCAGCTGATACTTTGTCCAACGTTTTCTTATTTTGTGCAGTTGCTAGAGGAAGAAAGCGGAAGCAAGATTCTGTTGATACAGTAGTCTTTTGCTTAATCTTTCAGCTTCCCTATATGTATCCAGGTTTACTTCACTGTTTTCTGATTAGAAGAGAGTTTTACTTAAATCTTATTGTTTGCTGAATACAGGAAAAGACTGTGGTTCCCTCCGACAACCTTTTAACTTTCCATATCCCACCTGCGCTAAGGAAGCAACTAATTGACGATTGTGAATTTGTTACTCAGATGCAGAAGGTATTCTTAATTAATGTCCTCCTAATATGTATACGAAGAACTCCCAACCAACACTCTATCAGCCCGCTTTTTCTTAGTTTCTCATAGTCAGTTTTTTGGCATTGTGTGAGCAGCTTGTGCAACTTCCGCGCTCTCCAAATGTGGATGACATCTTGAAGAAGTACAGTGACAGCATAATGAAGAAACATGGCATGTAAGCTCTTTGTTGCTATTGTTCATTTCCAACAGAGTATAATTCACTATAGAGAGTAGCCAAGTTTTTATTGATGGATAAGAGTTATTCCATGCTTGTGATGGATGTTTCCTTCTTTGGTGAATCTATACAGGGTAACTGATTCAGTAGAGGAAATTCTCAAAGGTTTGCGTTGCTACTTTGACAATGCTTTACCGGTGATGTTGCTTTACAACAATGAACGAAAGCAGTACGAGGAAACCATATCTGAAGGTGTTTCTCCCTCAACTGTATACGGAGCAGAGCATTTGTTACGGCTCTTTGGTAAGACTTAGTACCTAAACACCATCTTATATGCTGCAAATGTTCTTTATAGTCTGGTTTAGTTCTTATCAAACCTGTGGAAATACACACCAAGCTGAGACCATATATGCTTCTTATCAAAACCCTAATTATTGAGTTTTTGCAGTGAAATTGCCGGAGTTGCTAATCCATGTGAACATGGCAGAAGAGACACTGAAGGAACTGCAGGACAATTTTGTTGACATTCTCAGGTTTATTTTCTTGTCTCCTACTTAATTATTTCTTCAAACTTATGGGGTTGTGTTCACTTTACAAGTAGTAATGAAAACAAAACAAAAAAAAAAACTAAATGATACATACGCAGGTTCTTGAGGAAAAATCAGGGTTCGTTTTTTGTAACAGCATACAAAGCAGTGGAAGACATCGAGAAGAATGAAGATTAAGTATGTAAACCACATTTCTAGACGATGACGTGTCATTTCGTCGTAAGTTTGTAAATACACTCTCTCATTGTCTGCTTGCTTGTAGTG